AATGAGTCGGAATGACCATCTTGTACAAATACTACTTCTTCCGTCTACATCACTTTCACACAGACCGTGCAGGATCCCAAACTGGTCCAAATTCACATCTCTGACGAGTTAAAGATATGAATGGAAAGATGCCTTGACAAATCCAGCATGCTGTGTTGTTGGAGGTGGAAGTTACAGAGAATCAAACTCATGGCCATGAAAATTGAAAGCAGATACCACTATAAACTGCAGCAGATTCGATTGGACTCCAGTGACATTTTCTATGTTTGTGGTGCTCTGAAACGTGCGTCCCCTTGAGAAGGACTCACGACTCGATAACAGAGTGGATAAACGGCGTTTCACCGAAGGGAGGCGCAGCATATTGTATCCGCTAGAAAGCCACGATATTTGTGATTTCATCTGTAACTTCTTGACATTTGGGCATCGCCGAGTACTTGCTGCTAGCGAAGTTCTGAAATACGCAGTTATGGGAGGAACAGGCCAAGAAGTAAGGCGAGGCAGACTGGGTGTGGATAAGAGCAGACTCTTGAGTGTTTTATGTATCAATATACATGCTTCCTTCGAGTCGTTTACAGTACTTCTCAGGAGTCAGAACTCTTCAAGGGGAAGAGAGGGTAATTTGTAGGCAACGGAGGAACCTCAGATGCACCACTGTTGCCATAGCCATCGAATAACACCTGATTTGCACTGTAAACGCTCAGGCGCCAGTTCCAAGATGAAGTCCAGCGAGTTGAGTGAATTTTTGCATCACAGCGGACAATCAGTTGTTGTCGCCGATTGTTGTGCTACAGTCATTGGTACAGTCATTGGACTAGTCATTGTTCTGTCATTTTACAATCTCTTTGTGTTATTATAGAATATTCCCTTTTTATTAAACAAAGGAACTTCCCAAATTGGTACAAAGCACCTGTGCCAGAATCGTCTGTCTTTGCTGGTCTCATGACTCCAAAGGAAAAATATGGCAATCAAAGGATGGACAAATGAAGAAGGGAAACTGGGTGCATCACAGCATAGCAGAGACAGTATAAGGAAGGCCAAAAACTGGAGGAAGAAAATTGTTGCCACCAGTAAGATCTCACTGAAATGCTTGCCATTGTTTATCTATCCTTTCACTGTAGGCCCAGGAGCTGGTTTCTGAGCCCAGGACAGAAGCAGCATCCCATGAAATCCCCATTAACAACACTGTGAATACTGTTAAAGGGGAAACCAGTATGCACCTATTGTTTTAGCCTGTTTTGTAACTTCTATTAAAAGACTCGGACAATGAGCAGAGTGCAGCAGGAAATGACAGTGTGGGCTCATTTCTCACTGATGATGAGTATGTTGATGGTGAGGGTGAGGCAGATTTTGAAAGTGACAGTTGGGAATGACAGAGATGGCAAGTATGAAGCTAGAGTCTGGAGATAGTGATTATGAATCTATGATGTTGGGGATGATAATCACATGGCCATGTACAAGGTCTCAATGGAAGGCTTGGATGTGCAGAGGCAGGATTTGAAGGAGGAGATCTCTGGTTTGGAGGATAAGTCTATGGAATGAGTTTCTGGTTCTTCTTTATTTTTCTCTGTCTAAATTCCTCACATTCTAACATAGTATCACCTTCAGTATCAACTTATATTGCACTCCTTATGAATACATCAAAAAGAACTGGGACATGATTCTCTGGGACATTCAAAACACCCAAATATGAGTCGAGTCTGCTAGACCAGTCTATTGTATCACTGTTCAGCCAAGCCCACCCGAAACCCAGAGCCAAAAGACAAAGGAACAAAAGGATAACCACAAAAGGAAAATGTGGCCTCAGACAAAGAGAGAGAACAAAGAGATCCCAAATGACAGTACAATGGCTGGTCCAATGACAGTACCAATGACTGTAGCATGACAATCACCAATGACAGCTGAATGTCCGCCATGTGAGGGAGCGATGGTAGAAATGTCGCGCTGTCTAGTAACGTGACGCTGCCGGGCGGACATTGAACTTGGCTGGGTATCACATTGTGCTGTTTTTATATTTAAAACAGACAAGTTGCAACTCTATGATTTTGCCCCAGCAACAGTTTTATGAGGCGCTCAGCTTGTATCCTCCCAAACTGAATTGACAGAAGTGAAGGAAATATACACCACTTCCTATCCCGGACGATCCTAACCGTCTGAACTCTCTCAGAAATTGATCCAACTGTCTTTTTGCAAAATTTTGCAACTCTGACACTGATAGTAGTCAAAATACATCTACGTACCTTTGTACAAATTACTGTGTCAACACACAGAGCCTCAAAGTATTGATAGTATTTTTTAACATTACCGCACACGCCCGATTGGTCTTGGGGTCGAGACCTGGAGCAAGTATGACGATAAGGTCACGGAGGGTCTTTCTTGGACCGGGAAGGGGACATTGACGTGGGTATAAGGCCATCAGTATTGGTGCTCATGTCGGTACGACCGCTGAACGAAATATCGGTAAAGACAGTCAGAGTTGGTCCATAAGTTGCTCTCGCAGACTGCGAAATGCTCGTTCGGGCTACCGTGACGATTTCTGGGTCCTTCTGGAAGAAGCGATAGCAGCGAGTGACGACTACCAAAAGGTTGCAGACCATCAGCGATACAGCTGCCTAATAGTTGGTTATAATCAGCGTCCTGGACGAAAATATCGACGTGGGACGGACCTCGAAGTGGGCCGTTAAGGCAAACAGTTCGATACGACGCTGCAAGTTGGAAGGTCCAAATGCATATACTGCATGCAAGGTGGAAGATCCAGTGAGCAAGATGCTCGCAGCAAAGATTGTTAGGATTAAAACGCGCTCCTTGTGCGGCAGGTCGACGTGCCATAGAACGAGCAAAGGGAAAACCGCGAGAGCGACGCTTGAGACGACATCGGCTGATAGGAATGATTTAAACGAAACAAGGAAGATGATGGAAACTTACTGGTGAGTTGAAAAATCGTTACAGAGGGTGCTGATGGACATGACACAGAAGGGGTATTGTGCCAACTACTGTCTTTCGCACAGAGCCAGATCTTCCCGATGAGTACACCACATAGCATGGCGAAAAGGGACACGGTCATCGCTATCGACATCTTTCTTGTCTTCGTAGAAGGAGCCAGGATCCGTGTGATGGAGCTAGAAATGCTAATTCTGGTAGTCCTGAGAAGCGCATTAGACAGAGGAAAAAACGAGAGCCAGAAGAACCCACCAGACTACGAGGGTGTAGACTAATGGTGACAACCAGGCGAATGCAATGAGCTGAGACTTGATTCCCTTTACTATAAAATACAATCAGCAGGGCTAGGGAGATAAAAAGGCGGACATGCAAAATGCAGCAGGCTGTGCAAAGAGAAGTGCAAGCATAATAATTTCTAGAATCCAAGAAACCAAGGCCCAGAAGTCGTCCCACCAGAATTTGCGAATGTGGATTCTGCGTTGAATCCGGAAAGCAGTAATTAGGATGGCAAAGACATGGAGGACGGTGGCTGCGATTGTGAGAGTATGAAAGAAGGAAGCTTGCTCGATTTGAACCATCTGTGCAAGAGGGAGAAAAGCAAGCTAGAGAATCGGTTGACATCCATTGGACCACAGTTAAAGTAGCGTTTCCGTGAAAGACATCTGATGGGATTCTCGGGCGGCAGCCGCCGTAATAAACTGTGTCTGTGTGGGAAAATATCATATTCAGGCTTTAGCTCCTCCTCTGAAAGGGATTGCGCGCTTGCTACTTTTTTTACTGCTCCATTAATGGAGCAGTAAAAAAAGTAGCAAATATTGAAACTTGTGCGAGCCTCCCAGACCAACTTGAAGTTGTCTACTAGTATCTGAATTACTTACTGCGGAGCGACATGATGAGAACTTTCGACGTCCCACGACGCGGTCGAACGAGCAGTCTGTCAATTCAGCTCCACGCTAAACAATGGAGTTTTGTATGAGGTTTTTTTTCGATAAAAATTATCACAGCTGCATGGCATTCGGCTGGCAATTTTCTGTCACATCGGCACTCGGTTGTCCTTGCTATCGGTGCACGATGCTTCTTTACGCTCACTTGTTCCTGACGAGTTGAAACCGACGGTCCTGTTTTTCCCGACATATGTCAGACATATATCAGCGCCCAGTTTCCTTCTTGAGATTTTCTTGGGTTTGAATACTTGTGTGTTGAAAAGTTGTCAAGTTACTCAACTGGGATGCATTAGTATCCCGGCGTGAGGAAGCTTGTTAATGTCCTAAGCCAGACCTTACTAGTAGTTAGCAAGATAAGGTTATTGCTAATAGAAGCTTGGAGCACATTGATAAAGATGAATACTTGCACAGTCACTGGCCAGCAGAAGAGGAGGTCTCATAGGAAATAATTGGAATCAAATTCCACTTGCAATGGTTCAAGTTTAAGCGTCGATATTCGGGCGCGATACCGTCGCTGATGGATGGCCGACAATGTACCGATTTGGCGTTCAGGCGGGAGTCGGTCTACATATGTCGAACCTATGTCTGACATACGTAGAGTATTTATATCAGAAGAAGGGCCGAGCGACAGCGACAGATCAAAAGTCGGGACCTGCCGGCAGCATCGGCATTCCAGATACAGATGTCAGCTAGCAGAGCCGTGGAAACAACACAGTGCAAAGATTGTTTATTTTGTGCCCTGAAATCCATGGAATGGGCCAATATCATAGCCATGTAGACAACAGAGTGTGCCATTTCAAGTGCTGAGGACAATAAGTATCAAAAAAAGACCTTATAGTTTTCGTTTCAACAAGCTTTAGGTTCTTCCCTCCAGTAGGAACCACAGCTTGTTTCTGTCTCAACCCTGCACCGCCATGTTCACTGGAACATACTTATGTCTTGGATGAACTGCAGGAAGCTTGGTGATGTTTGAATACATTATTCTTCAAAGAATACTTGTATCACGGAGAGTGAGGAGACAGGTGCGGCGCACCACTATATTGCCGCCAACTGATAACGTAAACGACCAGAGAAAGCGCGGGAGGTAAGCACAATCGCCACAGTCAACTACACCTTATCTGCTCCTTGGCTGAGTTGGTTACAGCGTCCGACTGTTATTAAGCAATTAGTGTATGGCATGTATCGGAAGGTCGAGAGTTCGACCCTCTCAGGAGCAGTCTTCTTTTTGTTGAAACGAAAGGAAGACATAAATAATGCATTCAGACAATAATACACTCGGTCTCCAACCTTTGATGAAGTTGCTCGAGCCTGAGCGATCAGATCAGCACACAGATTTCTTTAAACATCCAGTTCAGCGAGAGACTTCAAATCGCGCTGGCTATGCCCGCCACCTCCAATGGCAAGAAATAACCATGTTGTATCTAAATATGATTCCGATAGGACTGGTTGGTCTTCGTCATGGAGTGCTGATAAATTCCCTCTGCACAGTCCTTTCGTCCGTAAATAGGGTCATGGCACTTGCTCTTCTCGCAGCCTCGCATTTTCAGCATACAAGTTTCATGAGCCTTCTTCTTGAATACTACACACCCCTTGACGCAGAGGTTATAGTAATCGGGACCGCACTTTGTGCTTATGCAGTCGTTCTAGGAATAATAGATAAGCCCAAAAAAACGATTGAAGGAATGGAAAAACTCACATATTCAGCCATTTCGTCATAAATGTCCCTCTTTGCGAACGGCTTGTCGATAGCACGACTTTGCGATTGTGTTTCTCTAGCATTACTCCTGGTAAGTAAAATTTCAAAACAGAAAGACAGGAAATTCACGAACATAGGACTAGCTTGCGTGAGAGCTATGCTTGAGAACAGGAGGAAAATTGAGGGGGGAAGAGCATCTTGAGACCTGCTCTGAAGAAGGATGTGGGGGGAGAGTAGTAACCAGCACTGCAGAAAAAATTTCTTTCATCTTCATTTCAAATATATATGTCCATCATAAGTTATTCTCGTGACAACAGAAAACGGCCGCCAGAGTTGTGCCAAGCTAGGCCAAACAGCGGCGACACTGCCATCAGTGATCACTCGGAAAATTTTTGCGTCGTCGTGACTGTGACCTGCATTCAGGCCGCCTTGGAAATCCATTCAAGTCCCAGTGAAGATTAGGTATATGAGGTTACTGTATTAGATATATGTCCCCCTTTCGCGAGTCCTCGTTGTCTATTAGCGTCTGGTTTTCAAGGTTGCTGAACTGTAACGAAAGTCGGTCAGTCTCGACGAAAGGCAGACACAAGGAGCAGGGGAAATGGAAGAAAAGAAAGGAATCACATACATATTGACATTCCCCACCATCCCAAACCCAAACTTTTTTCGAGTCTCCAGGTAAAATTTTAGCTCGGTGCATGCTGTCCCCTCGTTCAACATGTTTTATCCACCATTTTATCAACCAATGTCTTGTGACGAACTTGAACCAGAAGTAATATCGCCATTCGTATGCGGTGATAACCCTGGGGTTCATATATATCTTGGTCATCTCGAATTGACGACGCATGTCATAAGGAAAGTTGAGCGATTCCGATGAAAAACACTCTTTTCCATATGACCCTCGGAATTTCAGAGGTGGGGTTAGTGCAGGTGAAAGGTCAGCAGGTTGTCCATAGGCTGGATGTGTCGAGGCAAGTGGCCGTGAAAGGGGAGCAGGCGACAATTGTCCGGTGCGAAGGTGAAGCGGAAGAAGCGGTTCAGCGCGAAAAGCGACAATACCATTCCAGCAGGAAAATACGGGCGCAGGTTCATCATTCATGACGGCTTGCATGCCAGCATCTTCGAAAAGATATGGCCAGAGCGCCGAGGTCAAGCGCCCAAATCGGTCGCGCAGCACCCAGTTGTCGTATAGACTAGATTACGGTCAATCAACGCCGGATTCTAAAGAAGAATCACGCACCCGCAGACCGAAAAGTCTGTACCACAGACCATATCCCAGTCCCCATCATTCGTCTCTAAAAGCTCAACCACCGATTCAGCTTCCACGAAAACATCATTGCTAAACAGCACCCGGTCATATCCTCCCTTCTCTATCAGCGGCTCCATGACGCGATTCCGGATTTTGGCAAGATACTCGACTCTAGCTTGTCCAGTTTCTTTAACATCAGGGTCTCGTCCCACTGATATATCCTGAACAATGATTCGGCGCTCAATTCCCAAAGCCGCTAACTGGGCGTCGAAACTCCGCAGTAATGCTGGGGTATTATCCGTGCTATAAGATTCCACGATGGAAACATAGACGTTTTCCTGGCGACCGTTTCAGCACAGCAATGGGATAAAAAAAAATAGTAGCGCACCTTTCCGAGATGGTTAATGACCTTCAACATCTCCCGTGTCCAATAAGGAAGAACCAGGTCGTTATTGTAGAACATGGCGCCAATGAAAATCCGTTCTAGAATGCTTCAGCTTTGGAATTGAGAATAGAAAAAGCTATTTACTGACCTCCTCTCTTGGACGGACTGTCGAGAGCTGCCTTGTATCTCGTGTCCACCGACGACGAATACGAGGCTAACATAGCCAAGCCCACCACCAGAACCGAAACGTAGCCCCAGACGGACTTTCTGGGCTGAGGAGCAATCTTTAGCGGTGGACCCAGGTCCTCAGAATCCATGGGCAAGTATTCGTATTGGTGGTCGGCCTGGCTGCGAAATCTGAAGCGCTGTATGGTAAAGGCAATCATCACGACGGCCCAGACCGGTAGAGACAGCATAGCAAGGGCTACCTGGCTGCGACAAGTCGGCCATGAAAAATCGCAGCCTTTTGCATTAATGGTCATGCGCCAGTTGATGTAAATGAACCAATGGATCAGGAGAAAGGCAAGGACAGGAAAAAGAGGGGAGAGGCGGGCCAGGATCCATCGAGGGAGGGAGCTAGAAATTCGGGGTGGCCTCATCATGGTCGACCAGACATGAAAACTGAAAACTGTCGCTGATATCAGCACTGCCATCAATGGTCTCACGTGCTGTTATTCCAGATAAGCGGGGTAAAACGAGTGTGTTGAATGAATGGCTGGGTAGTGGCCGTCGCTCTTCGCGCCCACTGCAGAAATTTTTTTGGTCTTTTTGGGGTACAGATCGAGAGTCTAGTTTGGCCGGCAAGCCACCCGAAAACGGCCGTTCCCACGAGTGTCATTGGACTTGCACTCACTTCCCACGGTCTGTCACTTCTGACAAGTCCAAGAATATTGAATTTCACCAGCAAAACTACATTAATGCAGCTCTATTGATGAGGTTGCTTGTTATCAAAGATTGGATCACGCGACGTTTAATCCTGGTGGTAGCATTGCAGAGATTTTACCGGTCAGCTGTATCTTTTTCCCTCATTCAGACTGTCAGGCATCATGTCCATCCTCCCAAGACAGATTTTCAGCGCTTTATTAGTCTCTTTCTTGCTATTAGATTCCGCTGTACTCGAAATGTTGAGTCGGATTTCCTTCAAGTTCAACGACCAAATACTATCCAGGTTTTTTCTCTTTCCTCTGGAGTGGAGGTCACCGGACGAGTCACCAGTGTGAACTGGGAAGACGGCTGTATCCAAGCGGCTTCGTGAGATTTGATATTTCTCTTAGGATGTCAGAGGCACCTTATAAAGCCGCTCGCTCGTATCGTCCGAATTAGATTCCCCATGTCGAAAGGATCAGCTATAGTCACAGGCGCTGCGCAAGGCATTGGAAGAGCGATTGCACTCAGGCTCGCTGATGATGGATATGACGTCGGATTGTCTGACTTGGAGTCCAAGCGAGAGCTTATGGAAGGAGTTTCTCGTGAGATTATCGAGAAGGGGCGACGGGCTTTGGTTGTTCCTACCGATGTTTCTCGCGAGTCAGACGTAGAGGAGCTTGTTAGGAAAGTGGTTGAATACTTTGGGGGTCTTGATGTAGTATGTCCTTCTCTCTCTCTCTCTCTCTCTCTCTCTCCAACCTCTCAAATTCGTATAGATGGTGGCCAATGCGGGAATATGTCCGAGTATGCATTCTATCACCGATAGTAATTCTTGTGCTTGCAGATCACTATTGAACCTGTTGCTGACGATTTTCAGCCACCATGGAGGAATGGAATCGTACTCTCGAGATCAATGCCGGCGGAGTCTTTCTATGTTACAAGCACGCAGCCAAACAAATGATACTTCAAGGTCGCGGTGGCAGAATGATCGGAGCTGCTTCAATTGCCTCGAAAAAAGGTATGCCAAGCATAGAAATATTGGATTCTTGGGACTCATGGTCGCATAGGTTATTGCTTTATGTATGCCTACACGGCCTCAAAGTTCGCTGTCAGAGGTAGCTTATCTTCTCTTCTATCTGCATGTCTCTGATATCATCAGGCATTACCCAAGCCGCAGGTACGACCTTGGATTCTCTTTGATTCGATTCATTTCTACAGATCACTCTAGCGAGAGAGTTGGGGAAATACGAGATCACTGTGAATGCTTACGCTCCGGGTCAGTAATTCTTGCATTCCTTCGTCGAAATCACCGTTCGAACTACATTAGGCGCTGTCGACACGAACATGGGTGCGGCTGTAATTTCCTTATCGTCACCATCTAAAGACAAATGCCACACACAGTGGCTTTACTTGACCCAACGCTCGTTGGTCTGACCGGAGAAGAATATCTTGCTCAGGCACGTACCTTATTTCTTGCAACACCAATGGAAATCAGTTGAATCTTGGAACTGCCAGTTTCAAGATGCATCCTCTCTCCCACCGCGAAATATCACACCAGATGAGATAGCTGGGGTTGTATCGTATCTCTGCTCCAAGGACGCCGCATATATCACTGGTCAAACAGTATGTGAAGTTCCGAGATACTTGCCGAGCTGACTCTCGTTTAGATTTCCATCAACGGAGGAAGACACTTTGACTAGTTAGAGCGCACCCAGAAATATACTGTCAACGTGATTGTATCTGTCGAGAAGCATGAAACGAATCTTCTGTGGACTTGAACGGACTGATACTTCTGATACTTCTTAGGCCGAGCCGGATCAAGATTTCTGAGCGGAGCTTCAACTTATAAATATATAAACTCAATTTTCCCATCAACGCTCCTTATCGAAAGTCACCTCGCAGGCTGATATTTGGGGTTTCGCTGCCGTTTCTTGGGCGAGACCTTGAGCCTATTCAGCGAAGGGAGAGCGACTTCTCTCACCAAGTCCGCCCCGAATTTGTTTACAGTGTCGGTGCGACC